CTCCCTGGCCACCTCCTCTTTTTCACCTTCAGATCACTCTGGCTTCAGATCGGCCCCACCTTCCTCCCAGCCGGCTGCACCATTCACTTCTCAAACACCCCGTGGATCACCAGGCTCTCATTCATTCATTCATGCATTCACCCAGGCCATGGACCCAGGGAGAGAGGCTCTGGCTGCAGACCCAACCTCCAGAGTATGGCATAATCACCTGGGCGGGCCGGGCTGGGCCCTGTGCACCAGGCACTGAGGTCAGAAGAGAGCAAGAAAAGGCAAAACCTTTGCCCAACACAGAATTCAGGCAGCACTGCAGTGTTGGGAACAATGAGAGAATTTTTTCCTATTTTTAAAATTTTTCTTTTATTAGTACAGGTTTGCAATGCATGATTCCATTCCTCACGGGGAGTTGGTACACATACATAACACATCGTGATTCTCTTTACTTCTTTTTCCCACCTCTTCCTCCACCCTCCCTCCATCTCTTGGGCCCCTTCCTGTTTGCCAAAGATCTATCTCCTTATTTCCTAGTATCTATCTTTTATTTTGCTCTTTATTTATACTTTGGATTTCTCCTATAAGAGAAATCATGTGAGGTATAAGCTCATGTCTGATTTATTTCATTTAACATTATGGTCTCGAGGTGCATCCACTTTCCTACAGATGACTGAAACTTACCCTTTTTATACCAGAACAGTACTCCATAGAGCATAAATACCACACTGGGAAAATTACAGAACTGTACTCAAGAAATGTGACTGTCAACTGTGCTAAATGCTACAAAGGAAAACATAAATTTTGGGGAGAAAAGGCCCTCATCAGAAAGGCCAGGGAAGTCTCAACAGAAGGAGGGACAAGTTCTTCTCTGGGTCACCTGCCTTCTCTCCCTGCATGTCCCGACTTCCGGTGGATGTTACTCATTACTTGGAGCACCACCGAGCAACAGCTTAGAGCAAGTTACTTAGCCTCTGCACTTCAGGATCCACCCCAGTGCAGGGGTGGCAAAGCTCTGGCACGCATACCGCAGCAGGCACACACAGACCTCGGTCAGCACATGAGCCAAGTCCCCCCAGCCAGGGCAGCAAAGGCCTGACAAATTATCAGCATACACACAACAGCGAAGATCACATTAACTGTGCAAAAGCATGCCAAATGAAAACTTCTACCTTTCAGTAAAAAGCTGATTATATCATTGATTGAAAGCTCTGTTGCGTTTTTCTTTTAAGACAAAAATTGTTAATGTGTGAGCTGCTTTTTCTAAACCAAAACCTCAGTATTCAGGTTTAATTGCTGCGCGCTAAATAAGGGAGTTTTGGGTTGCAGTTTGGGCATACAGTCTCTAAAACCTTCGCCACCACTGTTCTAGGGTCTCAAAAGGCGATGCACCCAGCAGAGGTTTTCCAAAAGCAAGGAAGGCTCTTGTCACTTCACAGAACTGCCCAGATTTGCCTGCCTGGAGCCTGGCTTCCAAGAAACCAAGAGAGGCTGCAGAGGCCCAAGGTCCTCAAGGCCACCTGCCAACTGCCTGGCCACTGACCTACATATGGAAACATAAAAGCAAGACTCATGGTGTCACGCCAGCCTCCTTCCTCTTCTTTCTGCAACCTCCACCTGTCCTCTGCTGCTGTGGGCAAATGAGGAGGGCCAAATAAAGAACCCAAAGATGTCAAATTCTTTGTATTTTTAAATTTTGAGATAGGATCTCCCTAAGTTGCCCAGGCAGGGCTCAAATTTGTGATTCTCCTACCTCAGCCACTCAGAGTGCTTCAATTATAGTTGTACAGGGGTATGGCGAAAAAAGGAGAACCAAGACAGTACAAGATCCCAATGACGAATGTAACTGCATTGTACACCTAAAATGTACCAATAAACTCAATTAGAAAAAAAATTATAGATATACATCACCATGCCTGGCTTGATGTCAAATTCTTAATTTTTGGAACCAGCTAATACGCCATGGAAAGGGGGAATTAAAGTAGCAAATAGGATTAATCAAGTGGCTTTCAAAGAGAGAAACTGGCTGGATCCACCTGTAATCCCAGTTACTCTGGAAACTGAGGCAGGAGTTGTACAAGTTCAAGACCAACCTGGGCAACTTATCAAGACTCTATCTCAAAATTTTAGTTTATAAAAAAAAAAAAAAAGGTCAGGGCATAGCTCAGTGATCAAGTAACCCTGGGTTCACTCCCCTGAGTACTGCGAAAAATGAGAGAGGGCGAGGAGGAGAGAAGAGGGAGTCATTTTAAGCCCTTGAATTTGTCATAATTTGCTATGGAAAACAGGAAACAAATGCAAGATCTCAAAGGATTCCCAGAAGTCTCCGGGCAGAGGCTTGCATGGCTTGCTTTCTTCTGTGCATTCAACCCCGGTCTCGGTCTTGCTGGCTCCCAGGATGCCCATGTCTTGCACCTCAGCATATAGCTGTGGGTGCCCCTGGAGCTCTGTGGAGCAGGTGCATGCTGGGCACATCCGTCCCACCACCCTGTGCTCACCACGGTCTCTAGAGAGCACTGTGAACATCCTCCAATGGGAGCCCTGTATGCTGTCAGAGGTGGCGTGACTGCCCCCAGCCCGAGACATCTGGGGATCCTTTGAGATCTTGCATTTGTTTTCTGTTTTCCATAGCAAATTACGACAAACTCAAGGGTTTAAAATGACATTTTAATATCTTCTAGTTCTGGAGGTCACGGAGTGAAATGAGTGTCACTGGGGTAAAACTAAGTGCTGTAGTTTCTGAGTTTTACATTTCAAACTTCCTAAGTGCCAGCTGTTTAATTAGCACCTAAACAACTACACTGTCATTAAAACTTTGGTAGAGCTAAGTATCAGTTTAGTAATGGCTTACATCAGCAAAAGAGATCAAAAATTAATAACCTAATGATACATCTCCAGGTCTTAGAAAAACAAGAACCCAACCCAAAAGCAGTTGAAGGAAAGAAACAATAAAGATCAGAGCAGAAACAAAGGAAGTAGACACTGAAAGATTAATATCTGGAATATATAAAGAACTCAAAAACTTAGCACAAATAACAAGTAATACAATCAAAACATGGGGAAATGATCTGAACACACACGTCTCAAAAGAATACAAATGGCCCACAGATACATGAAAAAAAGGGTTATGATCTTTAGTCATCTGATACCAACTCCCTGTGGTGAATGCAAGCACTATGCACAATGTGTACTAAAAAATAAAATTTAAAAAAATTTTAACTATCTTTAGTAATCAGAGAAATGCAAATCAAAATCACACTGGGACTCTGTCTCACCACAGTCAGAATGGCCATTATTACACACACACACACACACACACACACACGCATGCGCTGGTGAGGCTGTGGAATGTAAATGAGTACAACCACTATGGAAAAGAGTATGGAGGTTCCCCCAAACCTAACAACAGAACTACCATATGATCCAGCTGTCCCTTTCCTGGGTGTACACGCACAGGAAATGAAGCCAGTGCGCCAGAGGCACCTGCACACCAAGTTTACTGCGATACTGCTCATGAGAAGATATGGAGTCAGCTCAGGAGGCTGCCAGCAGATGACAAAGTAAATATGGCACCTATGCACAATGGAGGAGTCGCCGGACACAAAGAAGAATGAAATTGCTTATTCTGCAGGAAAATGGATAAAAGGAGAGGACACTGTATTAAGTGAAACAACCTGCAAAGAAATGAAATATATCACGTTTTCCCTAACATATGGAAACTAAAAAAGGCAGGGGCGGGAGTTATAAAAAAGTGGAAGAGGGGCCTCCAGAAAAAGGAAAGGAATGGGGAGCACAAAGAGGAGACGGCAAGACTAGGCAGAAGGGAAGGAGGGGAACTAAACGCAGCCATGGGTATGACAGAACCTGGCGCAGAAGACAGTCAGCAAACATTAGCTTCCTTCCTTCTAGTCTTCTGCAGCTAAGCGGCAGGAAGAATGACAGAATTTCATGTCTTAGTCTTCTCCACTACAATCACAGGACACTAAAGGAACAGAACCCGACTTCCCTCGATTCACCCAAGAGGCTAGAGTCTCCATTCACTCTCTCATTCAACAAACCTTCACTGAGTGGTCAGGACCAAGGAGGCAGTGCCTGCCCTCACAGAGCCTCTTTATAGAAGAAAAGGCAGACACTGGTGAGTCATCCAGTCACCAAACACATACACATGTGAGCAGAGATGGTGCTGGAAGATGGGAAGTGAAGTAGTGGCCTGGAGGTCACAGCAGGCTTTGCAGAAAGAAATAGTCAGCAGAGAGCTGAAGTATGAGTAGGCATCAACCGGTGAAGAAGGGAAGAAAATACAAGCAGAGAAATGAAACAACAGAAAGGCCCAATCGTGGAAAGGGAGGCTGAGCCACTGTCCGAGCAGCTGAACATGTAGGACACGGAAGTCTGGAGTTTCCACCGAACGTGAGAACTATGTGGGATGGAAGCAGCAGGATGGGCCCAGGTGAGGTCACCCATAGGGAGGAAAGTGGCCCGTGGCACACATTCAACCCAGGGCTGGAAGTAGCTGCAAATGGGTCTGAAGGAGCACCTGAGAAGTCACCTCCTGGAAGCTAACGGAGCACACTGCACTCTAGGGCAGGACAGGCCAACAGTGTCACAAGGTGACAGAGGTCCCCACTGACGGCAGGACCCTGCCCACCCCGCTGGAGAGCAGAGCTGAGTACTGGGGCTTGGAGAGCTCACAAAGGACCTGGAGAGTGCCGGGGACAGCAGAGGCTTACCGCCTGCAGCTTCCGAGGGAAGAAGCGTGTGCCGGTGTGTCCAATGGCCTGGCTCAAAACGGGCTCAAAGGAGAGACTGAAGACAGCAGTCTGGACAGCCATCTCCTCGGTCCCAGGCTAGTTAAATATGTATGGCTCTAGAACTAGGGCATACTTGAGATCTAACACCAGGGCAAAGGGGCAGAGGGCTCCTGCACTCCCACAACTGGCAAGGCCCCTGGAAGGGTCTCCAGCTGCAGCCACAACCCACCCGCCTGCGCCTCTGGCACCAAACCCACTTACCTGGAATGGCACCCGGACCTTGGACCTCGATGATCTCCTTGTCCAGCTCGTCTGCCTGCTCTGAGTTCTCAACGACCTGGTCCAACTCCTCACTCAGCTACAGGGAGAAGCAAAGTAGGTGAATAGGTTGACTGCATCGTCCTTGCTTTTCTAGACTAAAATAAGAAAGCAGAAGTTGTTACTCATGTAATTGTCACACACACAATAAAAAACAAAACACACATGATCTCACCAAAAAGTCCCAGTATGTTTTAGGTCAATTCTACAGATCAGGACAACAAAGGTCAGAAAACTCAAGGAACTTCCTACTAATTTCCTAGCACTGCCGAGACAACATACCACAAAGTGAGTGGCTAAAAACACCAGGACTGTCCTCTCTCCTGAGTTTCTGGGGGCTGAAGTCTGAGATCAAGGTGTGGGCAGGGTTGGTTCCTTCTGCGAGTTAGGTAAAAACATGTTCCATGTCTCTCTCCGAGCTTCTGGTGATGCCACCAGAAATCCTTGACATTCCTTGACTTACAGCCACCATCTGATTGCCAACCTCTGCTTCCATCTTTACAAAAGACTCTCCCTGGGTCTGTGTCCCTCCAGGATCACTTTCTTTAAAGACACTGGTCCAGCTGGATGGGGGGCCCACCCTACTTCACATGATCTCATCTTAACTGCACCTGAAATGACCTTATTTCTGAAAACGGTCAGTCTAAAGTACTGGAGGTTAGGACTTCAATGAATCTTTTTGGGGAGCAGAGCCTGGGACGGGGGAAGGGGGTTTAACTTGATACTCTTCCCATAGCCATAGAGCCAAGGAAAGTACTAGAAAATGAGTCGAAGTCATCTAGCTCCAAAGCCCATGACCTTAACCACTTCCTAAAGCCAGAGGAAATGAGGTTTTGAGTCTGCTGAGAGGGGAAAAAAAAGAGCAATGCCCGTGTCAGAGCTCTCCAGGAGGCTAGTTAAACATTAGCTTGGGCTGCAAGTGACAGATAAAGTGGGCAGTCCGTGACAGCGCTAATTAGCGGCCTGGTAATCTCTCTGTTTCAGTGTTCTCACCTGGAGGGCAAATGGGTAAGGAAGGGGGGGACTGGAGGAAGAGCTACCACCTGTTTGGGCTGGTGGGAGGGAGAAGGGATAGGGTTCCCAAGCTTTTCTCAGGCTCATGGTATCTTCATTTCAAGGCAATTAAGGATTCACCTTCAGGAGATTAGAGTATAAAATAGGTATCACGAATCTGTTTTTCTTCCATCTCTTTCTCCACACCTCTACCCTCACCCCTTAGAATCAGGTGAAATCTCCAGTTTAAAGCCCTTCAAGCATAAAAGAAAACACGTGTGCAGGGCTGAGAGGCTGGGAAAGGCCCCATGAGGCCCTGGCCACATACTCCACCGCCCCTCCCCAAGCCTCACTGGCCCAAGGAAGAGAAAGACGTTAGTCCTAGGAAAGCAGAGTTCTCTGGTCCCCGTATCACCCAGGCACCCACCCGGTTCCCCTCCTGACTCCCCACAGCCACCGGCCCTGGGCAAATCCTACTGTGCCCCACCCCCCAAGGCAAAATCTCCCTCAGCAAAGATGCCTGGCTCAGAGCTTGGTCCACTCTGAAAGATCCCCGCAAGAAAGACGCAGGCAGACCAAGGGCTGCAGCCTCAGGTCTATGAACAGAAACTGCTCCGGGGTCGAGGTGGGGCCTCAAAGCAAGAACTGAAGGCATAGGAAAAGACGGAGCGGAAAGGTGGCAACAGAGTTATCACACTCGGGCTCTGAGCAGACACCGTACACAAGCTGCAGGCTTAGGTTGCTGGGCTGCAAACCAGGGGGTGGGGGGCCTCGCGGGAGAGGACCAAGGTCTGAGGCGGGGCGGGAGGAAGAGGAGCTCAGTGTCACTAACGGACTGGGGACGCCAGAGGAAGGGCAGCTCTAAAGGAAACGCAGGAGCCCGCAGCTCAGGGCAGACAAGAGACAAAAGAACTGCAAAGTGATCGGCAGGTCTCGGGAGGAGGTGAGCCTGGGGCGAGGGACCGACAGCGGCGAGGAGTAGCACGACTGGCGTAAAAAGCACCACGTCCAAGTTGGGAGGCCACCGAAACAAGAGGCCGTGGTCCCTGTCATCCTCCAGCCGGGGCCGCGAGTCCCGGGGGTGGCCTGGCGCGTCAGCTCTCCGGGGAGC